GGATAGTAAAAGCTCCGGGATCCTCAAGCTTGGGTGCCATTGAATGCACTATGACACTCACTTGATGAGTCATTTTAATTGTTTCACACTACATCGACCTCTTCTTTGTTACCAAATCTTTCATGAACTTAGCGTACCCCGGCATTTGCTCAAGCGCCTCCACCAAAGGCACATGGATTGTGAGACTCTTCATCATGTCAATGAACTTTTTGAATTGATTCACTCTTTTGCTTTGCTAACCATTGAGGAGAAAATACAAGAGGTTATTGAACAATATCTAAGGGACAATAAAGAAAATACCCTCCAAGCCAAGGGCTGGCCTTCTCTCATGTCAGCCTACATACTCTCTAAAGCAGCGATGAATACTTACTCGAGGGTCATGGCAAAGAAGTATCCGTCTATACAGATCAATTGCATCTGCCCTGGTTTTGTGAAAACAGATATGACTTACAACAGTGGGATATTGTCTATTGAACAAGGCGCGGAGAGTCCTGTAATGCTAGCTCTGCAGCCTGATGCCGGCCCTTCTGGCTTCTTCTTTGTAAGGAAAAAAGTTTCATCTTCATTGTAAAACGATATATGACACAATTGTTAAGTTTGACAAATATTTTTGTCCCACATCGGTGGGAAAAGAAGAGTTGAGGGGATTTTCCTCCTATAAAAGAAGGCTTAATGTTTAGGATTTAAACACACCTCTCATTTGCCTTCTTATCTTCTTAAGGCATTTGTATCTTTTCTCTTTAGTATTATTTCACTTGTATTTTTGGAGTGGAATAAAATATTGGTTGTGTCCGAGGAGTAGGCAAAGTTGGCCGAATCTCGTAAATTCTGGTGTTCCTTTTATTATTGCTTTATTGTCTTATTNAAACACACCTCTCATTTGCCTTCTCATCTGTTTAAGGCATTTGTATCTTCTCTCTTTAGTATTATTTCACTTGTATTTTTGGAGTGAAATAAAATATTGGTTGTGTCCGAGGAGTAGGCAAAGTTGGCCGAATCTCGTAAATTCTGGTGTTCCTTTTATTATTGCTTTATTGTCTTATTTATTATTTGGTGGCTGTCATAATTTTCGGTATAGTAGTTGTGACTTATTCACACTATATACATTTGGCTTCCGCAACAACAATAACATGTCCTTGAGCATATTCTATGCTGGAGATTTTAAAGTGTAATTGCAAGTGAGGAAAATTCGAGCTAATTCTGTCAGTTATATTCGCAGAGTTGTTGAAGGGGAGTCTTGGCGTAATTGGTAAAGTTGTTGTCATGTGTCTACGAGGTCACGGGTTCGAGCCGTGGAAACAGCCTCTTGCAAAAATGCAGGGCTGTATCCAATAGACCCTTATGGTTCGGCCCTTCCCCGAACTCCGTGCATAGCGGGAGCTTAGTGCACTAGACTGCCCATTATATTCGCGCAGTTGCAAATTTTCAGGATTATTTTTCGTATAAACCAATTTTACATAAATGATAACAAGAATAACCATATAATAAATGATAAACATAAAGTGGATAGCAAACTTAAAGACAATAGTGCTAGTCCGGTTTTTGTTTCAACATTGGCTGTCTTACATTTTGATTTCCCGATAACAATTGAGAGATTGTAACTTGTTCTACAAGAATTAAGAAAAGACCTTTATATTTTTTTTTTTAATTATGTATGATTAAAAATCATATAAACATTTTGACTTGTACATATAAATGTTGGCGCTCAAGGCATAGTGCTATCTCCTTTCCCTTTCCCCAGATTTGGTTTGGAGTATGATCTGTAACTATATTAAATTTAAGATTATTTAGCAACGTTTTCTGTTGGTCCATAAACCAGAAAGTTTTGAAGCTATAAATGCTTTCAGATATAAACAACTTCCGAAGCTATACATTCACTCAATAGTTTATGACTTAATTATGTAAATCTACTTATAGTTGGTATTTGGTTGCATCATGATTGAATTGTTATATAGTTTGTAACATTAAAAAGAAAATAAAAACGAACTTTAAGAGTGACATTAGAAGTACGATTGAAATGTACTATTTTAAATGATTTCTTTAGTGTCCATGGTGAAAGTAGAATCTAAAAACTAACATTTAAATACTTTTCTATCATTTTCCTTCTAGAAAAGTACTTCAATTGAAAGACTCCTTACCTAAATTTTATTTTTGTTATTATTTGACAGTTAATCTACAAAGGGACATATCTGTTGTGGTAAGCTAGAATTTGTTTTGAAAAATTACAATTTCAATCTAAATTAACTGTTATATATAAATTCTACAAATCATATGTTTGTTATATCGCATAAAAGCATTGCAATCTACAGAGCGGATCTAGAATTTCTAGTATATGGGTACTAGAGCTACTAAAAAAAGAAGAAGAAAATATATTAGGTGGGAATTGATCCCTATCTCTCTTGGTGAATAACTCAACTTTCAACCAAGTATATCATTCAACCTTATTGGAGCAAGGGTGCCAAAAGTTACTAGCATACTAGTTTTAAAAAATATGTACGTAAAATATTTAATTTTGCGGAAAAATTATGAGTTCACGTGCCTCATAATGCCTATAAAAATCCGCCCCTGGCAATCTACCTCAATTCGGAGGGGTCACTTATTTAAGAAAAATGTGATCGCACTTACTTTAAGCCTTTCTCGGTTTTCCTATATTCCTTTTTCTTCCCTCCCTTGCCAAATTTGTAAGAGGACTTACTTTTGTCCCGTAGGTATGCTCTGAAGTCATAGATATATACACGTGGATAGCCGCTTTGCCATATTTTTCCATGCACTACTGCTGAAAAGCCATGTAATCTCACTAGAGCACAAGCATATAAGCTAAAGGAAAATAAGGTCAAAATATCCCTTATACGCTTATACTTGTCCCACCTTTTCTCTTACACGATTCGGAAAAAAGTTAAATATATCTCTGCACTATTAAAAATTAATTAAATATATCCTTCATTATATTATTCGATCGTTACAAACCCTACTATTATTCTGTAAAACATGCCTTTATTTTTAACGGAGGGCCACTTAGTTCCTTATTAAAAGACACATGCCCAATTAAAATATTCGGTCCTTTAATTTTTACCCATAAACCCGGCCTGAAATCCTTTGATTAATTTCATCTTTGTTAGCACCAAAGTCATCAGAAGCTTCCTCAAGCTCAGCCACAGCTGAACTCTAAAAGCGGAGACTATTCTTGAGCTCTCTCTCGAACCAAACGTTGGAAAGCTCAGTCAATTTCTGGTACTTACAAATTTCACGGAGCGCCACTGTCCCTGGCCTGAATCTGTGAGGCTTCTTCACTCCTCCGGTTGCCGGAGCTGACTTTCTGACTGCTTTTCTGGCTAATTGCTTTCTCTGAGATTTCCCTCTGGTGGATTTTCGGGCAATTTGTTTTGTACGAGCCATTTAGGAATTAGGAGTTAAGGGATTTGGTTGAGAGAGTAATTGGATTTGTGAAGGATTTTGAGTTTGGAATGTGATGCCGCCTTAATATCCACCTCTACCTTCGGAGAGATATTTAAGCATAATCATTAACTAATCACCAAGAATTTTTAATGTTTGGGTTTAGAATCTTGAATTTCCTGTTAGTATTAGCAATAACATATGTTTACCGTGAAAATGGTAATAACAATTAAATTCGTTGTTGGGATTCTAAAAATACGCGATCTATTTTTATGCTAGTTGTTAGAGCAGTTGATGCTATATATGAAGTTTAACGGCAAAATACGAACTAAAGCAGAGTTATAATCAAACCGAGGGGCTAGCTATTCGAGCCTCGGGCTAGCCGATGAAGGGCCTCGAGGTCGACGCCTGGGCTCGGGCTCGAGCTATCGAGGATAGCCGGGAAGGGGCTAACAGTCAGGATATAATTGGAAGGGGCTCGAGCGAGTAAGTTAGAGAGAAAAGACAGAGAGTTGTTATTGATCTTATGTAGAGTAGTTGGAGCAACAGCAGCCCCTTATAAAGAGATGAGGATCCCCTTTATATAAGAGGGGGATCCTCTCATAGTACAAAATATATTAATTGTAAAGGCATGAAGATGGGACGGCTAGACGCGACGCCTCGATACAGGCTCTGGGTAGGCCGATTTCGTCAGACTTAACCGTGTGCCTTGGGAATTCCCTATTTTACTCTAGCCTCGATCTATATCCTTTTTAAGTCGGACCTCGGCAAGCTCCGAGGGAGGGAACTCGGTCACAGCTTCGCGTCCTCGGGGTCTCGAGATGCTCTCCTAAAGTGACTTGATAGCAAGAAATTAAACCCTCTGATTTCGCTGCATACAGATAGTCTCTGCGTTTCTCAGAACGAAGCAATGGGAAACGAGTATGATACCAGATTCCTCGGGCTTCCCGTGATGACGTCATATCGATGACGCAACCTGTGGGGTAAGTTTTTACGATAACCGGGACATCCCATGGACTTGTCTTTTCGACACCATTCAATGCGTTGTCGATTCCCGTTCTTCAAGCGGCAATACCGCCGTCGATTCGGCTCTTCAGAAACACATTAATTATACTTGTCGGTCAGTCTTCCAAAGAGATTGATGGCCGTGTCATTATCCCCTATAAATGGGGGCGTTCTGGCGTCATTTTTCTATCCAAGTGTCTTCATTTGTTCATTTATCCCTTTCCCCTTGCCATCTTCCTTTATTGTTGATCACCATGTTTGGATTTTATGGCCTTAAGGTTGTTTGGCAGCGTTTCTATAGGCCGTGTTGTGGCCTTTTGCCTGAGCTTCCCTTTGTCGATCGAGATTATACCGTCTTATCGTCACTGTCGTTGTTGTTGCGATTCTTATTGCTGTCCTTATTGGCTCGAGATGACGACACATGGGGAATCGACTTTCTCCTTTTTTAGAAAGTTATTCGGACTATGCATCGCTGCTCAGTCTCCTACCTTGGCCTGGTGTGGCACTTCATCCCTTGGATTTTTTCTTTCCTAAGGGATAAATGACACAATCGGTCATTGAGGTTGGGGCCCACCAAATCTTCAACCTTTGGCTTCGGCACGTTATGTCTCTTTTTTCTGCCTCTTCTGCATCCCCTCCTTTTCCTCTTCTTCATCTTCTCCCTCGACGAGCTTATTCTGTGGTATCGAGCTGGGAACCTAGAAGATGTGGAGATCGAAGGAGTTACCTTCGAGGACGCGAGCTCGAGGACGCGGCGCTCGGAGATGCTGCTACCGGAGATGAACCTTCGAGGATGGACTAGGTTCTTAGGTTTTCATTATGGGTGTATACCTCTTTGTTTCTTTGTTTCTGTGTAAGGACCCCTCACGGGCTTTTGTATTTGTATGTAAGGACCCATCGACGGCCATTGTAAGCCAATGTTTATGAAATAGAGATACATCTTCTTCACTTCTACTTTTGTTTTTTGCCATATTCTTGTATATTCTTTTGCATTTGCGGGGATTTTGAATGTATGCCTTTGTTGACGATCGTCGATATTCTTTCTGGTCTTTGGTCGACAGAAATGGCTCCTTTCAAAGCCTACCGTGGTTCCTCGGACCAAGCCTGAAGTGATCTGATAGACTTGGATCGTCGGGACCCTCAAACCGCATGAAGATGGCATATCGAACCTTG